GATAAATTGAACAAAAAAAAGACTGTAGAAGGAACCGCGAGTATGAGATTGAATGTAATACGATGAATGCATTAGAAATATATGATATTTATAGGGATATGATTAATATCCCGTTGGATTCAACAACTATCCGATATTTTTTATTCTGATATAATAAATATCCCGTCGGATCCTATCCGATTTACTTGATTATGCTATGATGAGTTGTCAAAAATATGTGGACAATTTCGATGCAATATGTAGCATTTAATAAATTTTTGAATAAATAAAATCCTACAAAATCGGATCATATATATGTTGGTAAAAAAAAAGGAATAATTGACAAACAAATGTGAAAACTGAAAAGCTGTCAAATCGTCAATTATGTAGCTGCCCAAAAAAATCTGTAGTTATCGTGGAAAATTGGTAACAACAATTCATATATAAAATTCATTAAAATCCTAGTAATATAGTTAACAAAATCCTATAACTTTGGTAAAACAATTTCTATCATTATCTACAAGGTTTTGTAGTAATTATTAAAATTGTGAATATATAAATCCCACAGAATCCGCTGAATTGGTTAAGAAAATCCGAACTAATTTCGCTATGAGAGATTTATTACTTAAATTAATGATTCAAGATTTTGTAGTAATTATTAAAATTGTGAATATATAAAATCCCACAAAATCCGTTGAATTGGTTAAGAAAATCTGAACTAATTTTGTTATGAGAGATTTTTTTACTTAAATTGATGATCTTCAAGATTTTGTAGTAATTATTAAAATTGTGAATCTATAAAATCCCACAGAATCCGCTGAATTAGTTAAGAAAATCCGAACTATTTTTTCTTATGAGATATTTATTACTTAAATTAAATTCTAATCGCGTGGGGCCCATTGGTGTTACTTAAATTAGTAAGTCAAAACATTATTTTTCAAGTCAAACATACTATTTTGTATTTTTCCAACAACCTCTTTATATTACTATAGATATAGATTTCATATAGTTCTCAATTTTTAAAATATGACCAAGGAATATTATATTACACCTTTGTAGCAAAGCCTTCAACCAAAGGCAACATATATTATACCACATTTAGCATATAACACAATCGAGGTTACATATATTATACCACAATTAGCATATAACACAATTGAGAATTATGTTAATTGTTCGATTCTTTTTGAGATCGATCGAGATTTCATCGAATTTTACCTTTTATCCATAAAGACTTGGCAAATTAATGTGAGGCAGCAATTTATCTAATGTGAGGCAGCAATTTATTTTCAAAGTTTTAACAATTCACTAAATTTTAGTTAATCTCAAATCTCCCTCTCAATAAGTTGATAATAACCACTTACGGCTTCATAGCAAAACTGTGACCCCTTAAACGATGTAAGAAACATGTTATCCTCGTGATGAGTTTTTCTCTTTTACTTACGTGATTATGATAAACTCTATTCATTTCACAATAATTGATGTTTGCAAATTGCTCATAGTTGTGAAAAAATGGAAAAAGTTATTTCATGAATGTATTGGGAAATGAAGGTCATTTTAATTAATCTTGAAAATAAAAGTAAATCATAATTTTATCCTCACAAGTATAATAGTTTTTCTAGTGGATAACATTTTTTTAGTTCAAATAATATAAATATTATAATAATTTATGGTTGTTGGATAAATTTATTTATTATCAAACTTGAAATTATTAAAATATGTACTATCAAATAAAATAAATCAACCAATAAGGTTGACTCAAGTGGTAAGCAGTGTTCTAAAAGTCGATGTGCGCCCGCTAGGCGCTCGACCAGCACCTAGCGCCTAGAGCGCCTAGGCGGGGCCTAGTCGGCGCTAGGAGGTGCCTAGAAATCAAGATTTAATACCTTATTTTTTTTATTTATTTTCACTATCTACAAAATAAAATTATCTCAACTTATAATAAATCAACGCACCTAAATCCAAATAATGATATTAGTATATTATAAAGAAAATATGATAACAAAATAATGTAATTAGTATTTAAAAAAAATGAAAAATTTTCGCCGAGCCTGCTTAGGAGGCGCCTAGGTGGCGCCTAGATCCGCCTAGGAGCGCTTAGGTTCGACTAGGCCCGCCTAGGTCCGCCTAGCCGACTCACCGATTTTTTCAGCCTATTTGTGCAAATCGGAGGCGGTCGGGCACCGCCTAGCCGGCTAGGCCGACTTTTAGACAGAGGTGGTAAACAACTTGATATACCTTAAGTAATGTCTCGGGTTCGAGTCATTATGAATGCAGAAAACTCTTGTTGAGAGACTCACCCACTATTACCAAGTGTGCGGCCCGGGTCGACCAACCGATTAGACGGGGCAAAACTTTGAATACCGTGACTGACTACCAAAAAAAATAATAAATAAAATATCGGCCCAATACCATCAACTAAAATAACATTTTTTTTTGTACAGGGACCTTTCAATTTTTGGATCCACATGGAAACCGACTAATCCAGAATCGAGCCGGGTAGGACCACAAGGGCGGCAAAGCTCTCCCTCAAGAGTTTTAACTAAAATAACATTTTAAATACTCAAGGTCACGGACTCATGGTTGTAAATTGTAATTGGAATATTCAATTTATTCTCCTCTGATTGAAATTCCCAACTCAGTCCCATATGCACTCTTTATCATTTTTCAATTGCATGCTTTGAAACGCTTTCAGATAAAACTACAAAACTCCACAGATTTTTGCAAGGTAAATTCTTCTTCCTCATCAATTTCACCTTCTCTGTTCGTTCACCCTGTAGATTGAATGTTTAATTCCACCATTTTTTTGTATATCTACTTCTCTGCAGCACTGATTTCGATTTGTTGTGTTTTTTTTTTTTTTTTTTNTTTTTTTGATATTTTTTGTTTCGTTCGATTTCGTGGTGCTACGCATTTAGCGAGCTTATTTGATTCAATCTGCCATGGACATGTGTGATTTATACTGATATCTATCAGGATGTAGCTCGTCTTCGATTGTTGTTGCATTGGTAGTCATTTTTCATTTTGTTCTGTTTTTGGCCCCATTGAATTTGGGTTTTACGTTTTTGTTGTTATCCTTTGAAATGTGTTGTTTTGCTTGCTTTGTTGCTAAGTGACCGAATGCACGAGCAGTGACTGGTTTGTGATCGTCTGGAGTTGAATTATGGGATTTGTGCTGAGATTATTACATATACATAGACAAGAATAAATTAGAGAGTTTCGGATGTTTTGGGTGCTGTGTGTGCGAATGTTTAGCTATATTGAATACAAATAAAGTAAGCTAGGCTGTGTTGTTCTAAGATGCTAATGGAATTTGAAAATTCTATTGCTGTTTTTGTGAAGAATGTTGAAGTGCCCATGGTCGATGGTTTTTGGTTGGTGTAAGATTTTGAGGGATTTTTCTTAGTCACTGTCTGGTTTTTCAAGTCTGCCATGAATGAAAAATATTTGTTTTGAATTATGTATTTATGCTTTGAGGACTATTCACTTGCGATACTCTGACTTGACCTTTCTTTATCCTCAAATATAAGTTATGGAAACTTCAACTTCAAGGCATGCATTTATGGGAAAGCTGCTCGTTTGACTAGGGTGTAGATATCACGTAACGTGATGTGCCTATCTATATGATTTTGATTTTGGATTGTGGAAATAATCGAATTGTGATAATATTACTTAATCTTGTGCAGGATCTTATTTTCTAATGGATGACTTTTTCGCTTAGGTCCCTGTGAACATCGTTTGGGACAGTGTTCTGTTGTTTTCAAAAATTTTATGTTTATTTGTGCACGTGTTTTTTTTTTCTTTGTTATTTTTTCCTGTAGACTTGCGTGGGAGGGGTAATGTCAGGCACCGAGGAAGTCAAAGAGCAAAAGGAAGTTGTGATGGAGGATGCTGACAAGCCCATGCCATCAGCACATCAAGAAGTTGTGTTCAGTTCGAGTTCTTTGTAGCTATGGGATAAATTTATCGTGCCAATATTGATCAGAAAAGTTGTTTCTTTTCCTGCAGGAGGAAGTCATAAAGAAAAAATATGGTGGGATAGTGCCTAAGAAACCACCATTGATTTCGAAGGTATTCATGCAAGCTCTTTTCATACATTTTTTCAAAAATATTGAGGATTTACTGGATAAATATACGGTAATGTTAGGATCATGAGCGTGCCTACTTTGACTCTGCTGATTGGGCGCTGGGAAAGGTACCCACTTTTATTGTCCTGTGTTTTGTGAACTTGAAGCTTTTAAAATCAAGAAACTGTTCTATGTAATTTGTTATATTATTCATGCTATATGTTGCAGCAAGGTGTAGCAAAGCCTAAGGGACCGCTGGAGGCTCTCCGTCCAAAGCTACAGGTAGCTTTTAATAAGTTAATGACAAGGAATTTACCCGTCATCACAAATTTATATAGCTCCAGCAACTTCAATATTTTTGTGGTCATAACATTTTTTGATCTTTTTCTTTTCCGGATTTTTCGTATCCTGTTTGTGATACTGAACAGGGACAATATATTGTTAAATATGCATAAAATCATTCACTTCATGTTTAGTAACACGCACATGATATCATTTGAGGCACCCAAATCACTATTTCCAGCTCACTGCTCAAACCTGTCCATAATTACTGAATTAGTTGAATTGATTTGCTCAATGCTGCATATGCCCTGTTTTATCTTATGGGTAGATGCATTTTTATCTTATTTTGGCTCTCTAGTGACACATTCTTCGTCTTGTTATGTGATGTTCAGCCAAATCAGCAGCAAACACGTTACCGCAAATCTCCTTATGCCCCATCAGAAGCTGAAGGTATATGTCATTTTAAATCTTCATTTAGATGTATAGTTTTTTCGTGTACAGTGAAGAATTTGCATTAGTTGCTTTTCCTGTTTCATTTATTGTGTTTGTGAAAGAAATAAATATGAAATCTACCCAAAGGTTCGATCTGTAACAAGAAACTTAAGGTAGGATTTGCAGTTACCGCATACAAACCTCACTATTGTGTATGAGAGACATGTATCAAGGCCTGTTGCTAGCTTTGAAAGATAAAGTAAGTTTATTGTATTCATATCTACACGAGCAATTTGTAATGGAACTAGAAAGCATGATAATGTAATTATCATCTTTTACTTCAAGTAAATTACTCTTTTAGACGTAGATTGCTCTCATGCTACACGAGCAATTTTACCTACATCTTTTTTTTTCTTAATCTGCATACAGATGGCAATGGTTCCCAACCTGAAGACATGACTGCAAATGAATGAGAAGCATCTGCTAATCCTTTGATCTTGCGGAAGTTGTTGCCATTGCCGTGCATCGAGAATGTTCTTGGTCTAATTTCTGCTAAAATAAAAACTTGACAAAGAAAAAGAGGATGTTATAGTGCCTTTGTAAAGGAAGAATATAACTACCTGTTTTTACTTGGTGTTGTATTTGCCAAGATCTAGAGGAAATCCCTATTCCTGTTGTAAACTATTTTATTGTTGAGTTCGAAAGTACTTATTTTTGGGCATAAATTCGGGACGTCAAACTGTTGTCATCGATTACCATTCTTACTTGAAAATTTAGTGTGTGTTTGATGGGTGTGTTTTTTATGTAAATGTTAGTTCTTGAGGTTATCATTCTAATCTATATGTTTGTTGTTTTCCATGTCATTAACCGAATTTATTTTAAAACTATTAGTTTGTAAGAATTACGAATTGTCAAAAAAAAAAAAAAAAAACAAGAAAGAAAATGAAACTAAAAATGTTGTGTGTAAGAAAGCATTCAATAACATTGATTTATACTACAATTTTTACATTTTTAAGGGTAAATTGCAATTTCAGTGTCCAAATTAAGGCGTAATTACAAAGTCAGTATACAGCATTTACACTATCTCATTTTAAGTACTCTAGCTATGAAATAACTCATGAATTTCATACACAGCTGTTAATTGCTCGTTAAAACTACAAAAAGTTAAAAATATATCTATATATATTATTAGAAAGCAACATGAAATTAAATAGGATGTATTATACGTGTTTTTTGAATTTTCAACATAAAGTATTTTTTGTTGTAAAATGTAACCTGAACTACATATATACAATTATTTGCACGCTCGACTACTTTTTGACCGTCCGATCATCTACAAAAAAAAGACACGTGTATAGTCAAGATGTGGTCGAACGTGCAAATAGTGACTATATATGTAGTTCAGGTAGCAGTTTATAACAAAATATACTTTAAGTTGAAAATCCCTAAAACACACATCGTATAGTACAAGTTAGAAAAAAATAATTTATCCAATTCCTAAAACACACATATTATAGTACAAGTTAGAAAAAAATAATTTATCCAATTAAATATATTATGCCTGAAGCACTAGAGCTTAGGCAGAGACTAAGGGCATCTCCAATGGTAATAACTATTACTAGCTATATGGTTAGCTGACGTGGATGTGAGAGTTAAGAAAAATAATTATTTTACACTATTGGACCCATGTACTCCTCTCACATGATCTTGAGTTACGTGAAATAGATAAGCTATTTGTTAGTAGCTAGTGACTACTCTCTCTCTTACTTTTTCCATGTCCACGTCATAATAGTTAGCCAAATAACTAACCATTGGAGAAGGCCTAAGAACAATTTCAAGTCTGGTACTAAAATTCCATTTTTTCATCATATTTTTAATTCGAAACAAGCCAAAAATACTCTAGTGGCACATACGTAATTTCAAGTATATCTCTTATCCTCATCCGAAAACAAAAAGGCTCGTACATGGAGAAAGCTATCCTAAACCTGCAGCTCTTTCCACCTTCAATGGCGATATCTCCCGCGCTTTTGCACTCCGCCGCGTCCACATTCGACGGAAGATTCAGCGTCCGGCTGCCGTCCGTCATCTTCTCTGGAGGTCGGACCCGCCGCCTTTCAGTCAAAGCGACGTCGTCGATCGTCCTGGTGGACAAAACCGAGGCCGAGAAAGTCAGCCGACTCAAGACTACTTACCTGGATAAAATTGTCCCATTGCTCAAGGAAGAGTTCAACTACACCAACATTCACCAGGTACGCTGTGCTAATTTTTGCGTTTATTTAGAGATTTTTTTATTTTTTTTTGGTGGTTTGTTTGATTAAATTAGAATAATAACGGTGGATGAACTGTTAGGGTTTTATTTGCTTTTATTTTTTTCCTAATTGTTGGATGTTTTGTTTTCCCCTGAAGAATGTGAAGGCAGATTAGATAAAAATTTGTATTTTTTTTGTGGTAATTTATTGGAAAAGTAAGCAAGAACTGATTGAATTATGGTGAATAAGAAATGTAATTAAGTTTTGTTATTTGACTGCAGCCATTGTGAAGAAAAATGGTAAATGAATATGTGAACGTATTTGGATTGCACATTTTCATTTGTTTTAGTTGCGTTATAAGCATAGCTTATCGTACTGCCAAAATCAATCTATATGTGGTTTTTTTGAAAAATTTCAGCTACCGAATTACGGTCCGAACAAGCGTTCTTATTGATTTTGAGCCACTGAAAATTAGTTTTAGTTTCTAGTACCACAGTGGGTGCCTAAAGATTGCTTTCATGAAGTAAACTACCAAACCAAACACGAAATGCGATTTCATACCTTCAGTGTTTAACACAATAATGCATAGTTGCTGTGATTTTGCTCAAATGATATTGTTGAAAGTCCATGCAAACGTGAACAAAGTTGCCCGGTCAAGAAATTATGTGATTTATTCTTACTCATTTTGGTGGTTGTACTTGGAAGATAGTTCTCTCCCTCGTACGTCAAATGGACTGCTGATAGCTTAGGAGCCTAAAAAATGATTTACGGCCGAATGCCTAATGTCACTCTGTAACTGTATATAGGTCCCGAAAGTAGAAAAGATTGTAGTGAACTGTGGAATTGGAGATGCTGCCCAGAATGCAAAGGGTTTGGAAGCAGCTATCAACGACTTGGCACTCATTACTGGGCAGAGACCGGTTAAGACTAGAGCAAAGATGGCCATTGCCACTTTTAAAATTAGAGAAGGCCAGCCACTCGGAATCGCTTGCACTCTAAGAGGAAAAGTGAGTTGCTTACTGCATAATTTTCTTTTTCCTTCTTCACTTATTGTAAACTGATTTCGATGGCTGTGCCTGGCATGACGGTTGTGAGTGATTGACTTGATCCGTGCTTCTGAACGTTATAAATTAGTAGGTTAAGATATTGGTGTTCCATGTTAACTTAAAGCTTCATGTAAGATGATAATAATAATTTTAATTCTCTAGCTTCATTGATATAAATATATATTATATTTTTGACAATATGAATAAGAGTACTCCTTTTTTTTTTTTTAGTTTTCCTGCTAGAAATAAAAATTTATGCATTTGATTAAGGTGATTTATTTAAAAAGTATGGTTTATTTAAAGATATGGTCACTTTCCCAATTTCGTAAGGACATATTTTGCCCCAAGCAAAGCGAAGCGAAGTGAAGTCATCGGGGGAGAGGGAGAGGTCAATTATGCCTTAATTGAGCTGATTCAAATTTTAAGGGTGACTGAATATAAGTTATTTTGGTTTTGATTGGATTTGTTGGACAACCCGAGTTAATTTTGAAGAAGGGTTGGGTTAAATTCTATACGAGTTTAATTTTGAGTTGAAAATATTATTTGACTAGATAATCTGTATCCAATTCGGGCTTAATTGTTTAAGAGGTATCAAAATTTTGTATCGTACAAAGGGACCGCTCGAAAGACCAACTTCATCGAATACAAAGTTTTTGCATTTATCATACCTTATACGTTCCCCCTCAAACCTCATTTTTCGCAGGTGATGTACTCATTTCTCGACCGGCTCATTAACTTGGGGCTTCCACGGACGAGGGACTTTCAAGGGGTGAGCCCTAGCAGCTTTGATGGAAACGGTAATTATAGCTTAGGCATTCGCGAACAGAGTGTTTTTCCCGAACTAGGTTACGACTTGTATGGTAAACCGAGGGGAATGGACGTTTGTATAACAACCACAGCTAATACGGATAAAGAGGCTTATAAGTTGCTGGCTCTCATGGGGATGCCGTTCAGAGAAGGCAGTGTTGGTGGGACCACGCCCGTTGTGAAGAAGAAGAAGTTCAAGTCACATCACTTTGTTTCGAAATCCAAATCGAAGCAGAATACAAGCAAGAAGAGATAGGCATTATCGAGTTTCGAGTTTCGGAGTTGTTGATTTGATTTTCTTTGATTGTTGTACCTTTTTGTGTTTAGTATGGAGTTGGAAGTTTGTTGAAACTAATGGTGAGACTCTGTAATGGTGTTAATTTTCCACCCAGCCACTTGTTAAGTATTTTCAGTCTTCTTGAGTGTATTATATTAATTAATGTGTGATACATTTTGGGCTTGATTTCGGATGTGTGATATTTGATGTTGGAGGATTTAAAAATCCACGAAGGTAAGTCGTTGTACTTTGCATTTAAATTGTGTAATATTTTCGCACTTGGAGTTGAGATAATTGGTTGCAATGGGATTTTATTTTATAACTATGCATTTATTATATGAAACAAAAAAAATGCATACATAAAATTACAAGGAAATATTATGGTCCCGTTACGGAATCATTCATTCGGAGTTTGTAACCGTGAGATCATATTCATGACGGTATGATGGTCTAATAGCTACAAATCCGACAAAATGGTTTCGTAATGGAACTGTAGCATCTTTCAAAAGTACAATAAGATAATTTGGGCTCGGCAAACTGCATATAACGTGTATTAATGAAACAAAAATTATTTTATGAAATTTCATCATAAAACTATTATAGTACCTACGGTGATTCTTAAGGCTGACCGGCGACCGGTCCTTAATATGCTGATACGCTGATGCACTGGATCACCGCCTCAAATCCTATTATCCACAACTGATGACGTTTCATTATCTTAATTAATCACTCTTATTAACAGAGGAATAAATTAATGACTTGCCAGCTCGTTAAATATTGGCTGCAAATCGGAGCATACGGTTATATATATATACAGTTCGGCCGACATGATTCCGATGGCCAAGCCCTCGTTAATCCGAGCCGAGCAGCCGCTGCCTCCGGATCTCTCTATGGAACGTGCGGCTCTCGGCGGATGCGCCGCCGCCTCTCGTCGCCGAGACATCGTCTTCGTCGTCAATCCCCGAGGTTCCTCTCGATTTCATTTTTTCTGTTGTTGTGATTTTTCCTATTGCTCGATGTCTCAATGTCTCCCAACATCCAACACAAACCCTAGCCACCATATGCTATTCATCATCACCTCCACTTCACCATCTCCACTTCCTTCAAGATCCATTCTAGAACATCAAGAATCCATAGCTAAACCTTAAAGATCCATGCCTTGAGCTTCTTTTTCCTGCCACCCTTCTCGTTTCCCGGCGAAGGTCCGGCGAACCCGCAGCTCATCCTCCCGACAACCGCCATTCACGGCGAGCTTCAAACTCCGGCGACCCCCTTCACAGAAGCTCCGTTCAGCAGGGCTCGAGACCCGACCCGTCAAGCTCGAACCCTCCCCCTTTCACCAGTGCAGAGGAAAAAATAAAAATCTGGGTCCTGTTAGAATATATTGTATATATGGATAGCATATATTAGTATGTTAGAATATATTGTATATATGGTTATAATATATATTTTGTCTATATCTTGTAGGATTAGATTTAGGCT